CCCATAGTTATGTACGTATGTACGTACGGTTTAAGGACTGGCCGTATATGCTTAGTAGCTAGGGTTAAGATTATATGGTATGTATATATATGCTTGTAACCAGACTGTTAGGGTTAAGCTGAATAAGAAGAATACGATAGCTTCGGTCGTGGACTAGTCTCGTTCATATTGAACGGGGAAACCACGTAACTCTCGGTGTCGATCTCTACGTTCTGTTTTGATATTCTGTTTCGTCTAACACCCGGAAGCACCCTTGGTACAAGAGACGAAGTCTCCTCGATAACGGTAGCACAACGTCGGGCACTGCTTCGGGGCAAAGTCCTTGATGGTTAGTATGTAGTTACCCCCATGTTTAGTAGGCCCCGCTGTCACTCATGTGGCAGGTGGTTGCTAATGTTCTGGGTTATCAAATAAGTAGAGATTTGAAATCAATAATTTAATAATAAAAAAAATCTCCAACAATATCCCTTTTATTTTCCTAATTATCCCTCCCTTCACCTTCTTCTTTTTGACTTCCTACAGCCCATTTATAGCAGTTGCTATAAATCGGGTGAAGTTTTTGTTTTCATTATATTTTGTGACCTATAAACGGCACATGTTTTAGCTTGATGGTGTTGAGCCACGATTGGTCGGGGCCTAGTCGTGTAGGGTTATTTGGGTTAGCAAAGTGCTAAAAATGTAGTTGTGCAACTGTGTCTATATTATTTTGTTTGTTTATTAGTTCCTAAAGTTCAGGGGTATAGGTAGAGTAGTGGTGTGAATTATGTGTTGGAGTTGGCTAGATTTTTTTGTATTTATGTTAATCAGTTTCATTCAATAAAATAGTTAGTCGGTTTGTCCCATTCGAGTTTATATTGTGGTATCAGAGCATAGGCAAACTGTAACCTAGTGTATCGCGGTGAGTTTGTGTGATTGAGAGTTTATAAAGTGATTTATGTTCCGATGGCGATGGCCGCGGCCGCTGCTGCCACCACCCGCCTATTGTGTATAGGGAGTTTGGGTAAAATAAGCGAGTGGAAAGGAGACTTTGATGAGAAAAGTCGCGTGGTTGTAGTACCTTATTGGTTCAAGAACCACCATGAAGCAGAGCAAGAGGGAGAAGATTGATGAGAAAACGCAAACCTCTCTACAAGAAAATAGGGGTTTAGTGTCGGTTGAGTTGCGTTGGTTCACTTAACCGACACTACAATCTATTTTGTGTCAAAGATTTGTGTCGGTTACTTTACTAACACATATTTTCATAGTTTTTTATAAGAATACTGAGCTCGTGAAAGTTTAGGTTCTTTTGTAAAAGTCGCACAACTTTAACTCACACTTGGATAGCTCGAATCGATCGTCAAACAAACATAAAATAAAGGATACATGGGGATAGATACTCTGCCACAATCAAGTGTGATGGCTTGATTGATTAGAGTCTTGCCAAGCTCTTCTGGAATATTCAACAGAAAAACTCAAACAAGGATCTTGCCCTAGCTATGGAATCCACCAATAGCTAAACCATAAGCACTCATGCTCCATGGAGGAAAACACACCTGGGTTTAAAATTCTTATTCATCAAAAGATAATCTCTAAAATTCATGTTTAGAACCCTTTATATAGCCCAGGGCGACTAAAATAATCAAAAAAGAAAAAAGACACAAAAACCTAAACTAAAAAGGAAGGTGAAACTCGGCGAGACCCGAAATCCGGTCATAATACTCGGACGGGTATTTAATGCTACTGGTCGGGGGGCCCTCTGGACCAAACACCCGGTCTCCTTCTTTGAATACCCGGTCGGGCATTGGTTAATTCTTGGATGGATTTTCGCTGCTGCGTGAATCACATCAGTTTTGTGTCGATTTTACTTAACCGACACAATCCACAGCGTATTTGAGTCGATTTTGTGTTGTAACAGACATAATTAATGTTGATTTGTGTCGATTTTATTTTGAACCGACGCAATTCCCCTGACCCACGCCCAAATTTTCAGCGCGCCCAAAATTTTCATCCCTCCTAATTTTTAGTTCCGCCCCGCCCATTCCCTCTCCTTGCCAGCTCAATTTCCTCCCGAAAAGATTGAACCCCCACCCTAAAAATTTGAGAACAATTTCCACCTTCCTCACTCCTTCCCTCTCTTGCATAATAAAAAAAACCAAACCCAGCAATTAATGGTCGCCTCCACTGCAACAAACTTCGACCCCTACCTCCACCACCACTAACTCCGACCCCTATCGCCACCGCCACCAATTCTTACCCATGTCGTCTCCATCGCAACCAACTCTGATCCCTGCCGCCACCGCCGCCTTCAATATCCAGTAACCGTAAAGCTTATTGGGTTCTGTCTTCCCCTGGATAGATATTTGTTTCTTGATCTACCTTCCCCCGTTTCTCTTATTTTTTCAAGATTTGCTGGGTTCTATCTTCCCTTTCCTCAGACGAAGATAGTGAAGAACTTCCTGCAGAATAATTATTGTCATTAGGTAGCCTCTTAGAGATGAATCCACTATGAGTTGGCGCGATGAGTTTGCTCAATAGTGGGATTCAGTCTGTTCTCCACGGCCTTTGTAATTGTCTTATGGTTAACATTGTTTAGGTAGATAGGTCACAGCTGAGCAGAGGATTCTGGGTGATTGGTCTGGGTAATGAGAACTATGGTATAGTCTAGCATTCCTTCTGGCAGATGAATGTTTCAAAGAAAAACGTGACCAAATTAGTGTATTTCACCCTACAATAAACCATAATTTTTTTGTAAAAGACAGCTTGAAAGCCAACAGGTCCAGGAGCAGAAAAGGGTTTGCATTCCAAAAATTACTTTATGAATATCTGCAATAGAGAAAGGGCTAAGTAGTTTAAGGAGGTCTTCCTAATTGATTCTGAGGAAGCAATTCTTGGGCATTCGATCCGGGTAGGGAGAATTGTCTTGGGTGTAGAGGTTGGAGTAGAAAAAGATTGCTAGCTCTTCCAACTTCGTCGGATCCTCAACCAATTTCTTGTATTGTCTTTAAGAGCTAGAATCTTGTATCGTCTTCTCCTTCTAGTTGATTGTTGATGAAATTATGCCGAGTTCAGCTCTACAAGGGTAACCCATTTTTCTTTGGCTCTCTGAAGCTAGATTACATCTTCTTGAGCTAGAAGGGTGTCAAGTTCTCCTTCAATCTTAGCCTGCAATTTGAGAAGACATGGATTGAAATTGTTGGCTATATTAGTTTGAATTTCTTGTAACTGAGCTAGCAGTCTCTTCTTTCTATGTTGGATGATACCAAAATTCTCCTTGTTCTAATTATGCAATTTGGTGTAATATCATTGAGTGCTTGTTGGAGGTTGAGATCCTCCTTCCAGGAAACTGGAAAGAAATTTTGAAACTAAAGCAATCAGGTTGCCTCAAATCAGAATGATCTTTATCGACCAAGCGTGGGCGCGATCCCTGCTCTGCAAGTCAATAAAGGGAGGTGATCCAAATGAAACTTGGGCAAATGCTGAACAATCGTATGAGGTTAAGTAGTATTCCATTCCGCATTGCAAAAGGATCTGTTGATTCTGCTAGCATTGTTATTAAGCCTTGTACCACCTTGTACTAGGGAAAACAATCTAGTTAGCAAATTTTTAGCAACGCCTAAGGACAGGTGAAGAGATTGGTCATGTTTTCTCCGACGGGAAACAGTAGGCATTGAAGCGCCGGTGAGTAGCCAGGGTATCTTGTTGTTGTTACTAGTGTGTATCAGATGATCCCATAACTGTTGGTAAAAGTTATAATGGGGACTTCCATACACCGGTAAGCAGCCACTCTTCTTGTCCACAGCTTGGCACTTTAATGGTAGTGTGTTGTCTACTAGCATCCAGAAGTCGAACATTGAAATCTTACGACTTCCATGCCAACCAAATTCAACCTTTTTGCACTTCAATATCAACCCTCACCACCTCTCCGAAGTCCAGATTATCATGGACTCTGTTGGCACGATCACTGCTAATCTGGGGTCCGAAAAGTAGGAGGAAGTTCAGATTGTAGGTCTGAACCAACAATTTTATAGCCAGCCTGAAGTCTTTGCTCCTTGCGCCACACACGTTCCAAGATAGAATTAAAATTATTTTGTACATAGATAGGAAAAATAAAAGAAGGGAGATCAAAAAGCAAGAAAACAGAGTCTCTTCTCGGGTTTTCAGATGATGGCCAATGGCGGGGCGATCTGTTCCTCTTGAATGTCGGTGTTTGCGATTTGTTTGTCTGTTGATGCTAGTGCTTGTGCCTCCGCCATATTCACATCTACAAGTTTCCCAAATATGATTTTTTTGGAACTCATGTGCCTTAGTCTGGGTGTGGGCTTAAAACTAACTCTTCTATTGCTTTGAGGGTGATTGGGAAGCCATCGTCTTCGAGTGTCCTAAGCGAGTCTTTCTTTTTTGTAGATTTGAGCTGGAGAGGTTTCTTGATAGCTCTAAGGTTGATTCCCTTGTTTTGAATTTGGTTAAGAAAGTTCTCGGAAATGTTCTTCTGTGACCGTTGGCGAGTGGTTAAACCATTTGAATTTGGATCAAGATGTTCATTACTTCAGAAGACTAAATTCATCTTATGAAATAGTATCCATTAATAATGAAATGAACCAAAAAGAAGTTATCACGTATGGATCAATATAAAAATTAAATCTAGATGTTACCAATTATAAAAATAACAGCCACGGTCTAGAGTTTTTGAACCTATCCCGCCCTGAATGTGGTTCATCGGCTCAATGACTCAGCAACACAGTGAAGTCGTCCAAGGATTCTGGTCTTATCATATGTGTTCAGTCAATCAGGCTCGCTTTCGATCAATGTATTTACGGAGGTTGAATTGGCTGTTATAGGAGAATCCCAATGCAAGAAAGAACAAATCAAAGTATGTATCCGAATTCGCAAACTCATATATGCACTACGCCATTACCCCCAGAAACATCAAAAACTCCATGAACGCAACAATGACAGTTAGACTTACCAATCTGACCTAATTTTTAACACTACTCTAAAGCAATCCAACCCTCTCTTCCTGCTCAGACTCTGCGGGAATCAACGTACGTTGGCTTGAATTGAAGATAGTGGTGCTCTTGTAACAGCGCGGAGGCTGCCTTACCGTGTCCAGGAGCCGCAGTACAACTCAACGACTCCGCGTCGTGGTTCTCAATCTTCACAGACAAATCATCTAACACCTTGTACGCATCCCGATCCAAACACGATTTCTCTTCTCGCAAGGACTGTAGACCAATAACCTCGTCGTCATCAGGTCCATTAGGAGCGAACGCGGCAGCGGCATGTGCTTGGCAATAGGCGAGCTGGCGAAGGACGAGGTCGAGCTCGGCCTCCATCGATTTGATCTGGTGCTGAAGCCCGAGGATGACGTGGTAGCAACCGCCGACGGGGTCGAGGGCTCGGACGTTGGCCTGGTGGATGATGGTCTTCATCGCGAGGGATCGGCGGCCGGGGCTGAGCTCCCTTGTGATCTTCAGCATGTTGCTGACCCCGAACAGTTTGTGGGCGTTGTGGAACTCCTTGTGGCGGCTGGGAGGGAAGTGCGGGGCGAGGGGGCAGTCCGGTGCGCATTTTCTGCGCTGGTATTTGCAAGCCGCGCACGCTGGGGACCCGCCCACGGAGGAGGATCTCTGTTGCGCCTTTTCCGGCGCCGCTTCCGTCGGCGGCGGCGGCGGCTGCTGGTTCATTTGCGTAGCGTTTTCGTCTCGGTTAGGCGGCGGATTGCGGGTTCGGAGAACTCGGTTTGAATTTCATGAGAAAATGGAGGAGAAAATCATGGGGGGATTTAAAGTGATGAAAGAGAGAGGAGTGGTGGGAGTCTTTTTTCTCTTAACCGTTTTAGGGGAAACTGGTCGAGAAGAATCAGGAGACGTGATTTTATTGCACTTAAAAGCAACTAAAATATTATTATTTGATCCAAATAGTATCTTTAGAAATTACCGATTTGTTTATCGTATAAATTTTCGTTTCCACACTTATGTTATTATTATTATTATTATTATTATTATTATTATTATAAATTATTATTATAAGTGTGATATAGGTTTATTTTTCCTGGTTGGTACTATTTAAAAGATTTGAACCTCAAATCTCATGGTTCAAAGTTATTATTTTACTTCGCCACATATAATATTGTAATTTACAATTTTCCTTTCGCTCTACAACCCACCAAGCAATTCTGATTAGAGATCTTATTGTCAATAATCATGCATAATTTGTCACATCACCATTTATGGAAGGCTTATAACCTTTTTCTCTATAAATTTTAACGGGCTACATGTCTTTCGTTTTAAGTCGTAATTTAAATCTTTTGCACAGAATGTTGCACCTCAGTCTATATATGTCCCGGTGGAGCCGCAAACCAGTTGTAGCAAGGAGGACAGAAGAAAAAAAGATCATCAAGCCCATCCACAATCGGAAGGGTCACATGTTGTGGTGCTCTCTCCCACTAAATAGTTTAAGCAGAAGCCTCCGGATAAGCAGAAGCTAGTGGTGCGCAGTTTGAACTTGAATGTTGACATCAAAACAAATAAGAATACCTCATTCAGCGGGACATCATCATAGGATCAGGAGAAGAACACTCAATCCACATCCACTACTAATGTGGAAGCATCGTGATCTTCCTCTTTTCGGGGAGTTTTTGTCCTCTAATTGCCTTTGTTTGTGATAGCCTGTTACTTTTCTCTTTATTTTTGATGATTTCTATCTTTTCTTGGAACTGTAGGGGTGCGAATTACCAAAGTTTCTTAAGTCATTTTCTTAAGTCATTTTCATATGTTTTGTAGACAACACTGTCCAACGGTCTTTTTTCGGGTAAGTACGGTCGTTTTCATTGTGGATCTAAAGATCATTGGTAGGGAGGCGGAAAAAGTGGTTCGCCGAATGGGTTTTAATCGGGGAATATCGAGTGGAAGCTAGAGGTTTTGTTTGGTGGTATATGGGCATTGTGGAATGCTCGAGAGATCTCACTGCAGATAGAGGATGCAACGGACCAGCTTCTACACATTCGTTTCATCCTCGCAAACGAGCAATAAGTATTTATTTCAGGGGTGTATGGAGCACCCAGTCCTAGTCACAAGTGGCAACTTCGGGAATCGATTCGACATTTGACTGTGGAGACGGATCTCCTGTGGTTACTCATTGGCAATTTTAATGTTATGCTCTGCCCGAATGATAAACAAGGTGGGGCCGGTTTCAATATCGCCGACAACAGGGAGTTTCGCTCTTATATAGATGACTGCAGCCTCATGGATGTTCAGGTTTTGGGACCCTGGTCTACATGGAGTGGGCTGAGGCATCTAAAGGAATGCCTGGAGTTTGCTTTATGCAATACACTATGACTCTAGTTGTTCCCAAACATGCTCACCACCTTCCTCATTGAAGTAAAGTCAAATCATAGGCCGAACCTGGTAACCACTGAGTTTCGCCACAAGCAATGTCAAGGAGGGAAACCTTTTCATTTTTAGGCACCCTGGCTACTTCACAGTGATTTCCCCCGAGTCTTGCAAGATGGATGGGAAAAGAGTTCCAACTTCCAATCAAGCCTAGAGAACCTTACAACATACTTATCATAATGGAACAAAAAGGTGTTCGAAAATATCTTTGGCCGCAAGAAACAACTGTTGTATCGACTGCAAGCTCTAGAAATAAAGAATGAACAAAACCCAACCTCTGGGAGCATACGGGACGAGGAGGAAACACAAACAACCCTTCACGATGTCTTTAAACATGAGGAAATCCTTTGGTTCCATAAGTCACGAGTGTAGTGGATTATAGAAGGGGTTCTTTCATCTCTCTACTATGAAGTTGCGATGTTTTACCGTATGTAAAAGTTGAAAATTGGCTTTGGAGAATGGGTGCAGGATGACTCTGAGCTATAGGTTTTGGTTCGAGCTTTCTATGTAGACCTTTACAAGGACTCTGGCCAGACGATAATAAATACTTGGTCGGTGCAGTTCCATTAGCTCAACCCTAGTGTGGACTGCCTCGACCTTGAGATTCAGGAATAAAAATTCTAGGAGCAATAAAAGGCATGAGACCCTAGAAAGCTCCTGGCAAGGATGGGTACTACCTGGTCTTCTTACAACGTTGTTGGGATACTATAGGTAACTTCTTCTCTCAATTTATTGCTCTGTGTTTCAGGTCACCGGAATTGATAGCCTCAATCAACGCCACTCTCCTTACACTCATTCCCAAAGTGGCCAACCCTACGTCTTTGGTAGAGTTCTGACCCATAGGCCTATGTAATGTCTCCTACAAAGCACTTACCAAGTGAACATGTTGAAGCCTCTGATGAAAAAACTTGTTCAACCTAATCAAACAAGTTTTGTTCCGAGACGCATCACACATAATAATATCATTATCTTACACGAGGTGATTCAAACCATGCATATGAAGAAGGGTAAGGTTGGTCAGATGGTCCTCAAAATCGATTTAGCTAAAGCTTATGATCGATTAGACTGGGGCTTGTCAGTACTAAATGTGATCCCTCTCCGTACATAATGCTGACAATGATCCTTCCGATGGGCATATGCGACTACAACGATAGAAAGATCACGGGGTTCATCTGAGGCAACCAACAAAGACATTGAAGGATTCATTTGCTCGATTAGGAAATTATATGCTTGCCTAAAGACCAAGGAGGGTTGGGACTCCGCAATGCGCGTGCGCTTAATTCCACTTTATGATAGAACTCCACCAAGATCTTGTAGTTGTCTTCATGGTCGCCGGCTTCGAGAATGACATTTTCCAATTCTACACCATGATCTTCCTTCAGAATGATGAATTCTACAATGTCCACCCTTACTTCCTCTTAGTCAAAGTTAGAGTCTCCTAACGACTTCATTAAACTATGAGAAGAAGATGTAGGGGTTTCATGAAGAGATTCTTCAATTCTAAAGACTGGGTCTTCATGAATTAACATTAAGCATCATCGCGCTTTCTGCTTAGCTCTCCTAAATCTCGTAGTGTATGGATGGGTGACGTTATGCTCTTTCTTTGATGAGGGGGAGATAGGTAGTATCGTGCTATTTTCCTTTGTTGGACGCGCATGTTGGTATGATCTTCAACATTGTTTCGGAAAAATTAGAATATTCGGGGGAGCAATCTAAATTTTATCCCCCATCGTACCGGTTAGAGTGGCATTTCGCCCCTTACCACAACTCATCCACTGATTCTTTGTCTTTGGCATATTCATATATGTACTTAGTTTCACACAAACTTCAAGTCCATCACTAGGGAAGCGAAAACCAAGATTTGCTTTATCTGGTATCAAACGAGAGCTCCAATTTTCTGGAAAATTCAGGTTTTGACAATTTTTTCAGGTGTACCAAAATTATTGATGGTATCGAGCCAAAACAACCTGCTCCTCTTGAACATTTTGATTGATCTCCATTGAAATGATTTATGTATTGATCAAAAGATCCCTTCTATTAGTTTCTTTCTATGTACATATAATAATACAAAAGACCTTTTCATTATTCTGTTTTTTTTTTTTGTTATTATATGTCATATGAGACCAAAAAGAAGAAACAAGACAGAATGACATGCAGAAGCACTAAATGCGAGAATATTTACTTTCACAATGTCATTGTTTTGTTTTTATTTACTTCGCAATCATTCTAGTTTAATCCCATAGAGATGCTAAGTCTTTGCGTCAAAATTCGTGGGATGAATTTCATCTCGATAATATCGAATCAGATCAATGTACAAATTAAGGAAGTAACCCTGCCCCAACAATGCAAAGGTTCCAATAGCTTATTCTAAACCATTAATGAGCATCACAAAAAACTGAATTAAAACATTTATAGATCCCACATATTCGTCCCCTTCTAGTTATAGATCCAATTAAGATGGAATTGGAATTTATCAAAGAACTTTAACCTCCGAAGAAGTTTTTTTTTTGTTTTTTTTTAAGCTTAAAGACGGCGTTCACAATTCGGATAATATATCCAAATTCATTTCTTCTTGATTGAATTCATTGAGAACGATAAAAGTTGTGAGAATTCAAGAAAAGATCACGACATAATTAAGATATTTATATGATAAAAGATTATATCTAAAATGTTTTTTTCAAACTATCTTTTTCAAGAATCCTCTTTTCGACTCTGACTCTCCCCCACTCCAGTCGTTCGTGGCTCCAAGTTCATATTGTTTGCTGGAGTAGGTAGCTCTTCGTGATGCTCCCCATCTTCATGCTTTTCTTTGGGTTGAGCATCTTTGTGTGAAGTCTCCATATCCACTTCCTTCTGAATTTCCTCAATGGTTGAAGATGCGTAAACAAATTGCGATTGAAGAGGTGAACTGCTTACCTTTTGCTAGGGTCTGGATGCAAATTGAAGAAGATGGAGGAAATGATAGAAATCTTCATTAATTATGATGTTTTCATCGTCTTTCCAAGAATCCATGAAATTTTGGAGGATTGCACATTCTTCAAGACTACTTTCTCCATCCATTGCACCTTCCATAAGTAGTGATGACAATTTCTAACCTAAACCACACGACCCGACATGTCCCGACCAATTTGGGGCGAGTATTACCCGTTCCGCAGTAGCGTGAGGCGAGGCATGAGTATTGCTTCTGACCTGCCTCATCCCGCCCCCGTCCTTGACCCAGTTTGTTATGATTTGCGCCAATAGCTACCCGTATTTCTCCTCTTTTAACATTTCTAAAATCATATTTCCATCCGAGAGAAATTTTTAGACTCTATCTTTCAAATATTTAGACTCAATTATTCCTTCTACTATATCTCTCGTCCATTTATGAAGTGTTTTTCTGCCTTGTTGTAAAGAGTTCAATATCGACGTCTCTTTTCAAATAACGTATAAGAATGAGTCGAACCATTCCGCCCAATACCAGCGCAGTTATTACCCCAACCTAACCCGTGCTTAGTGCGGGACGAGTATGTGTATTGAGGACTGAGGTACCTGTCCCGCACCATTGCCATCAATATCCATAGGGGGTCTCTCGCCTTCTACTCCTTCCTAAGGTTGAGTTGTAAACTCGTCTTCTACCTCATTAACCGTGATAGCCTTTAGATGAACCTGGTATGATCAGTGCTAGTCATGAAACTGGTTGGAATATCATCGGTATGACCGGCTTGATCGATTTCCAAGCTCTATACAAAATGGTGTTGTTTTAGTGAATTTAATTAAAAAAAATTAATTTATGATATATTTCATGATTTGAAAGTTAACTGTTGATATTATTTGTTGTATTCAAATATAAAGATTTAGATGTTGACGTTAAATGTTGCATTTACATACGAGTGTTTGTTATTATGTTTGAAATGTTGTATTTTATTTAAATATAAACATAAATTGAAAGTAGGTTGTCTTCAATCAAATATGTTTATATATAGGCTTAAATTCATTTGATAGTAATGAGTTTTCACTTTTCACATTTCTACCTATTTTATTAAATCGGTATCAACCTTCATGCCAATCGAACCATTTAACTCTAAACACTAGTATCCTAACAATACTATAAGGGGGTTCTTGGCCAGAACCCCCTTAAACTCTACTTCCCTGAGCTGTGCGCAATCCTGGGAAGGAGATATTTGTAAAATACAACTGAACTGGCCGTGAGCTAAATTAGGCCGCCAATCAATTGTTCCCCTTCCCTCAAAGCCCATTACAGCTCCTACAGTTACTGTGTCAATCTGTCAATCCTTTTAATTGCATTCAAACTCATAATCAAACAATAATCATCAAGAACAGTCGGTTATTTGGTTTTTTTAATTAAACTTTCATGGAACTTACAATAAAAAAACTTTCATGATGTCCCTCCTAAGCTTAAATTCTTTATATGGCAATGTCTGAAAGTTATCCTACCAACCATGACGGGCCTTAAATCTCGGGGAGTAAGGTGTCAAACGCGGTGCCCAGTCTGTTGGGTTGATAAAGAGAGTATTGAGCACCTCTTTCTCTATTGTCCCGTTGCTCTACAACTCTGGAATATGGTGGGTTTAAGCTGTTTAATTAGTTCCGCCCCAACTGATAACTTTGGTATTTGGTGGCGACATGTTATGAACTCGGAAAACTTCCAAATCCACTATCTCCCCTGTATTTTCCTTCTTTGGAGAATTTGGAAATCTAGAAATAAAGTGGTATTTGAATTCACTCAACCACTAGCCACTTCGCTTGCCCGTCAGTTCTTCTTTCAAGTCCAAGAATTTTCCTCTCTCCCCCCCCCCCAGCCTCTGGTATTTTTGCCCCGCCCTCAGTCGTCTCGCCCTGCCAATTGGATTGGTCCCCCGGATGGTTATATAAAGATCAATTTCGATGCTGCTGTTCGTGCCCCGGGTTGCTCGTCAGGTCTCGTCGCTCGAGGGCCAGATGGGCAAGTCTTTTTGGCCTTGGGTTTCCATCATCCTGGAGTTTCGAATCCTTATCTTGCTGAACTATTGGCCGCAAGGGACGCCATTTCTCTTGTTATCTCTCGAAGTCTTCGCCTCGTCATCATAGAAGGAGATTCCGAAGTAGTTATTCGCCAACTTGATGGTAGATGTTGCGAAGATTCGGTGGGTGGGCCCTTGCTTCGTGATTGTTTTCAGTTAGTGAGGTCCTGTTCCTCGTGTATTCTTTTTAGTGCGGTTCCGAGGACTGCCAACTGGGCTGCCCATAGAGTGGCAAGACAAGCTCTGTTGCTGTCCCCTGTAGAAATAGCGTCCTTTGATTTTGTAGGGTGGTTGCATTGATGTATTTTCGGGGTTCGGGTAGAGGTTTTAACTATTGTACTTCGGTATAACTTGGAAAAAAAGGCTACGATAATCAAAGCATTATTATTATGATAATATAATGGGTTTCAGAGGCCGAGTATAGCATTATAAATTTCTCTATATATCTTTTAAAATTATGATTAGCAGTTGTATTTCATTGTGGCCATTTAGGTAATGTAGATTATTGTTAGTTTGTTAAATTATTAGGTGTATAATTCAAGATGCATAACCACTCCTTTATTATTTTTAATTAATCAGTTTTCAGTTTTATAATTTAAATTGTAAAATTTTAACTAAAATATTAAATTGATTACATTATATAAAATTATATCAAGTTTGACATATTTTGAAATAAAAAATTGTTTGTCTAGCTTTCGATAGCATCATATATAATAGCATCCGTGACCTATCAATTCTCCTATAATGGTACCTGATATCTACGATAATTACTAATCGTATTTCCACTACCATTTTTGTTAGATTGTTATGAAAGTGATTCTCACCTTACTAACTGGACTTTGACTAATCTTCTTATAGTCAAATCAGAATGATCATGCTACTCCCCACTTAATTCATGATCTACAAATAAAAAATTAAACCACTATATATGGAAGATGGCATTCGTGGCAGGTTTAAGCATTCCCATTATCGACCACTAAACTTTTCTAAGCCATTTTTACAGTTTGGACAATTGCATATATATAAGAGAAAAAAAAGAATTGGAGAATAGTCAACACCTACTGGTTATTCATTAAGTTTTCAATCTATAGATTATCAAGTTTTGTGTTGGTTGCAAGGTTGTTTATCAACTTTAGTTAAAAGAACAAATCTCATAAAAAGTTCATGAGACGTAAATTTTACTGTGCGTAATGTTAGTGTTTCCAAACATTTTATCACTATAGATTGGCTTCCAGTGAAAAAAAAGTAGGAACAACCAATTCTGAAGAAAAAGATTTTGTTAAGGACGACAAAGACATTGTAATTGTTAGAGATGACGGTGCTTTAGAGAGAGGAGGTGAAGCGATCAGATGGAATCCAAAATGAAATTTGCAATAATTTTTTACGCCAAGGATCAAATAGTGTGGTCGTCTTATTAAAATTTCAGGAGTCAATTTCCTTGCATGATTTATATTTTTTTTTATTTTGAGTAACGACAGTCAATAAATGGGGTTAGCATGTTGAAAATTATACGAGTATGATTTCAGTTAGGGCTGGGATGCGGGCGGATCATCCGCGGGTTTGGGCCGACTCACCCGCATTTGATCCGAATTTTGTTAAATGGGTGGGTCTGTGGGTGGGTGACGGATTGCGCTGGGAGCCATCCGTCGGGTGGTGGATGGGTTGTGGGTGGGTGCGCGGGTGACCCGCTCAACCCAACAACAAAAAAGATCAAATTTGTTGGTGCTAGAGAGGGGAGAGTGGAGACGTTAGACATAAACTAGGACTGCTCCTGGAGTTTGAACCTCAAAGCCAACTTTCCAAATATCGATCCCCTCTTCTTCCCTTTATTTTTTCCTCTAATTCTTGTGCCTAGATCGCCGCTCTTTCCTTTGTAGAATTATTTTCCTTAGTTCCTTGCACCTGATAATCATCTCAATATGTAGAAAACTCTTTCATAATAAAATTTCTATTCAATTTAAGAACTAATTCGACATTTTTCGCCTTATTTCATCTTCTTGTTTCCCCCGATAACTCTCTTCACCTATTATCATGTCAAGTTGACTCCTTTATATTATATACATTGTGATGTGGGTGAACCCACAAACCCACCCGCATCATCCACCATCCGCCCGACCCAACCCGAGACTAAATGTGGGTGGGTGGTGGGTTCAAAATTATCAATCCGTTTAAGCGCGGGTGGGTGCATTTTATGGTCAAAATCCACCCAACCCACCCAATGCCCACCCCTAATTTCAGTAACTAAATCATTCAAAAATTTTATGGTATTAAATAAAACATGTCTTGCTGTGAACAATTACTAATAAGATTATTTATACTATTAATGAAATTCATCCGTCCAACGGGCGGGCCTAATCTAGTTGCATTTTAACATCAAGGCCATCGTCTACCGACTACCGCACCGTAGAGCATTTCTTTTGGGAGAACCGTGGAACAGTGTCAGTAAAAACGTAAAAGGTAGCCGAAAGCCCGAAACGAACAATAGGGTTCGAAAATCCATTTTCCTTGCGTCACCTGCTCTGCACGAAGAGCATATCATTCTGCTCGCGAATCGAATTTAGTTCCCACCTGCTGCCAGAAAAGGGAGAGCATATCGCGGCAGTTGTGTATCCAAATTTGAAGGAGGCACTTCCGATTTCCATCTCCATGACGGAGAAACCGCAACCGGTGCGAGTTTTGTACTGCGGCGTCTGCTCTCTTCCGCCGGAGTACTGTGAATTTGGATCCGATTTTGAGAAGTGCAAGCCATGGCTCGTCAAGAACGCCCCCGACGTCTACCCCGATCTTCTCAAAGGTATTCCACTGCCCTCTCTCACCTTCGCTTAAACCCTACTCCTCTCTCTCTCTCTATGGCTTGCGCCTTTTCCTATGTGTGATCGATATTTTAATGGGCTACTCTATTTTACGTGATTCTTTGTGTAGATGCTAATGAAAACGACCTTGGCAAGGTTTCTGAACGTCTTCAATCTGTCGGCATCTCAATCGATGGCGCTGCTGATGGGGCTGCCTCATCTGTTCAATCTGGTAAAATTGTTGTTATCACGGGCAGAGGCTAGTTTCTTCTTTCCGTTCTTCCATTTTCGTCTGCTGTGTTGGTTATTTAGGAATGCGCTTGCCACTCTGATTGCAGGAGAGACATCAGCATCGAAACCTGCAGAAGTTAAACGTCTTCCCGGAGGCAAAATCAAAAAGAAAGTAAGAATCTTGTTAATTGTTTATCTTTCTTGCTCTTCTTGTCGCACTCTGCCTTGCAGTATACTTGCTTCAGTTCATTTGATATGTAACTTGCACAAGTGCATAACGCATGTATGCTGCAGCTTTACCTGGCTGTGGCACAGCACTTGCTGATTCAAAGTTATTGTGGGTTTATTCTTCTGCCTTTATATGCTCTTCTAGTTTCCAGGTTATCTGATCTATATGAACGCTGTAAATGCTCAATGAGACAGGCTGATGGTTTCTTCCTAGGAATCCATGTGTACCATAGCTGTTAATGACGATGTGTCACAGTTAGAAGTAGCATGTGCTGTGTGGATCTAGTTGTGATATACGTGGGATTATATTTGCTGCAAATGCCATAGCTGGTTTCTTAGCATCTACCTATTCAATGGAAGCACTATACCTTTACTTGTTTCTGTAATAGATGATGCTATTGGATTTCTATTGGAGTATGGTTTTGCATTGATTTTGTAGTCTCACACTCTCACTAACTTGTCTTAGGATTGACTGTCCTGCCATGCACGATGTTCCATATGACCATATCTATATAAATTTGTGGCAAATGCATCAAGTGGGCTTATTTACTAGCATATTGTTTTCCTTACCTGCATCTTCTAGTCTTAAGGGGTCAGGTAGTACTATTAACACCTATCTTTATGAGGTACTCATGCCTATCTTAGCTCAACTGGAGTTCGAATTTGGGTGTCATCATGTGATTGTTTGATGGTAGATGCTCTGTTCACTATGCAAGCCTCTTGCTCTGGGTGCAGAGGCAGTACTTATCTGAACCAATTTCCCATAGCTCTTTAAGATCGGCTAACAGTTTACCCTAGTGTTTCTCTTACAACTTGTTTGCATTCAACCAAAAAAATAAAATATATATAATACTAATAATAATAATAAAGAAAGAAAGAAAGAAATTGAGTTCCATTTCCATTCTCTAGTTGTTATCTTCTAGTCAATGAAAGTTGGGAAATGGATTAGAATGCCTATGAAAAGTGGTAAACATCGGTTAATGGAAATGGCATAGATTGATCTCACTGTAATTTATTGTCTTTTTCTTCTTGCCACTCTACTTTCTCTTCCCTGTTATTTTTCAAGTAAGAAGAAATATAGATTTTTCATTTTTTTTAAGCACTATGATTCATGTTTAATTTTGTAGGAATAGTTCCAAAACACAAGAATTTTAATATCTTGGAATTGATTCATAATAAGCTGTCATAAATGCGCTGATATAAATTAGAGAAACTCTTCTCTATGACATGCAGGAGAAGCAAGAAGTTGTAATAGAGAAGATTGTACGCAACAAGCGCAAATGTATTACCATTATTAAAGGATTGGACCTCTTTGGTGAGCTACTTCCTGAAATAATTTTAATACTGTGTTTTTTTGTTTGATGGTTTAAATGTACATTCATAAAAATAGTTTTTGTTTCCAGGAATCAAGCTTAGTGATGCTTCCAAAAAACTCGGAAAGAAGTTTGCTACTGGTGCATCTGTTGTCAAGGTGCCGATATGCTTCTAAGATTCTTCTATACCTTAATCTTTTCCGCTTCTTATGATTCTACATGTGGTAACATGCAGGGTCCAACTGACAAGGAGCAAATTGATGTTCAAGGAGACATAGCTTATGACGTCGTTGAATTTATCACAGACACATGGCCTGATGTAATCTCCTTTCTTACCCTCTCTTTAAGTTACTTATATTGATATTCTATTTATCAGTCATCACAAATAAGAGATATTTTCAGATCTTCCAAGTCTTAAGTTCGGTGAAAGATGTCGGGAACTAGGAGAATTGTTTTTTCTGCTGACTGCACTGGTAGTTTCAGACATGGCTACAATTGCATTAACTAGGCAACTTGACCTATCTGTTGACAATTAGTAAGTTTTATGACGACTGGAACCAAATGAAAGGAAAAGTAGTTCTCTTTTGAGAAAATAATGAGGCAAGCATCTGGATGTGTGATCTCAACTGTTGTGAACAGAAACGGGACATAAGTTTCAAGGACATGCACAGAAGTCAAATCATGGATCATGATGCAACTGTGACAGCCTGAATGTTGTTTTTTCCTAAATGATTGGTCTGCTCTAGCATTTAGAGATTGGCTCAAACTTTGTGAATACTTTACTATCCTGGAGAATGTGTTTTATGCTGTCAGGATAAAGTGAGATGTAGGGGGGGGGGGGGGGGTGCTGATGGTTTGAGCTTTGTAGATTTTCAGTTTCTTTCATTCTGGATTTTCTTTGATTAAGTTGAACGAGTTTGATGATTTCCGCTCTAAGCTTACAAGTTATATGTTTCCATACCGTTTGTGTTTTAATGGTCTGATTATTTCAGGTGCCTGAAAGTGCAATTACTCTTCGTTGAAGATGGAGAAAGGGTCGCAGCTGGTTGACTCTGATTTGTAGTAGAAGCTTTTGGCGCAGGGATGAGTTGCTTCTGGGTTTGGACAATTTAGGGTAATCGAAAGAACATATAGGGTGTACTTTGTTATCACTCTTGGAGAAGCAAGCCCTAATGCGAACAGATACTGGGAAGAGCAGCATGTTTCAGTTTGTTTCCATGAATTTAGCTTTCGTCTGCCCTGCGGCTTTACAATGTCCATTGCATTCCTGCATTTCTTTTTCATTGAAAATCACTTGTCATTTACAAAAAACAAACTCGAGAGAAACGCAGCTGCCGTTTTTTAGAAACAAAATCTAGAGAAAAGTTTTTAGTAGAGAATTTAGTGATTGTGAAATTGAAATCTGAAAAAATATTGAGCACACTATGTTGAACTACTAATTAACAAAATACCATTACAACGATCAGGATTTGTCATATTTTGATTAGCAAAGGTGAATGTCGATTTATGATTAATACCTAATAGTCGACATTCAGCGAATGTTGCCCTGCTTTTCGTTTTAGTATAGGAAAAGCAGTACTTTTGCTGAGACAATTTCCATTTAGTTGCAATTGTGAATGCCATTTTGGCAATTTCTGATGATTGTTTCATGTTTCTAACAATATCAAGGTATCTACATATATGAAGTTGGTTTGTAATTCAGGGGGCCGTTGTCACATTTATTGCATAAACATTACGAGAAGGTAGAGCAAAACTCACAGCTCCAAAGCGTCATACCTAGTTCCCGCATAATCAGAGGTAAAAGCAATACTAGATAAATCAGAAGATATCGGTTGATGTATTTGCACCATGCTAACATAACCCTCTCCTATTTTCTTAGGTGCTAAACACCCTCTCCTATTTTCTTTCAAAGATGGTCCATAGTTTCCTTCTTTTGCAGCAACTCGTTCCTCCCCTTTGGTGTAAGGCTAGTGATCTGACCAAACGGCAAGGCAAATTTTGATTTAGACCGTACCATATAGTTTGGTCCAGACCGCGACACCATATGCATACAATTTGGTTTAGTTCATGGTCTGCCCCTTTAGTTTGTTGTCTAGGAAGATCTGGTCTAATTTAGACTGCAACTACCCGTCCAAACAATGACTCTAATACCATATCCAACCTAGTTATTCTGTTAACTTGAAGATTCGTTAGTATATACTAACTAATATCCAAAATGTATGAACTAATATCCAAGTCTGCTGAGTATCTAGATAGCACAGACTAGTATTCAAAACATCACAAACTAGTATCCAGATAGCAGATACCAACTAATATCCACAATCAATCAACTAGTATTCAATATGGATACTCTTATGTGTTATCTGGATACTCTTATGTGTGTGCGGCGATCGAAAGCCTGATCAGCTGGGAGAAGAGGGCATCGACGGCGAGCTTCTTCGAAATAGGGATGAAGAACAGAGAGAGGGAGGTTTCGTCGTTGGCAGTGGAGCAAGCACAAAGAAGGGAGTTTGCAGCAGAACAGGAGAAAAAAAAAGAGCAGTATAAAGAAGGGAACAGAGCCTATCGAGGGCAGTCGATTTTGTAGAAAGACTGAAAGAGATGAGAGTTGGCAAAAGAAATTGTAAATTAAAAGGTGCAAGAATTGTCGCATTGAAATACACTAGTGTGGGAACCGGCCAGTTGGCCGGAGGAAGGTGAGGAATGAAATTTGATAATGTAATGGGGTGTATAGGTATTGTTGTATAGTTTTTTTTTTGGAAACACGTGATAAAAATAGTGAATTTTAGCAGGAAAGAGACATGAATGATACAACGAATCAAAATTCAGCCTTATGAACCAAAATCAAGTACTTGTTACTTTGTGAAACAATATTGTTTCTGGTAATATGATAAGAGGTAGAGTAAGTTTTATAGAAACTGAATTCCAGAAAATCGAATAAAAAATCGTGTATCCCGCCGGTTTTCGGGATATGAGCATCTCACAATTGTTGCTAGCTTTTACTCGGCCCGTTGGCCTATTACTTTGCTTTATAAAACTTTCATCTTGTCGTCATTGTGCTTTCTGGTTTTTGCCAGACCATGATAAAATCTAAAGAAATCAATAACGAACAACACGATTTGGGATAGGAACCGTCGTTCCTGTATCCCTAAAGAATGATGGCAAACACGGACTCACCTGCCAAACTGGTTTGGATTGAGATTTTTATCGGGTATCAGGGAACCATGTGATCATAAATTACACTTGATCAAAACGGGCCAAAACTTGAAATTCAGCATGTTTACCCAACCCATGCCAAACTCTAATTATTCTTTACTTTTAAACTTTCTATTGGAAAATAAAAAATAGTGAAAGAAAAGAGATGATTGCAATTCGCCATTTGCACATCACTGATTCGGGAATAAAACGAGAGAAGTTTGAAAAGAAACGGAAAATGTTTAGGATCGATTTAATCTTAAAAATAACCAAATAGATCTTTTTGTTTAGTTTTTTACTAACAAATACCAAACGATTCCCTATAAAATACACTATAATTTAATCATTATGATATCAAATAATTATATAATATATATTTGAAATGATAAAAGTTGGACTAATTGGGTTGGTCGAGGTTGAACCATTGAATAACATTAAAATACATTATATTTTAGCCACTAAGATATAAAATAATAGCATAATATATATTATGCTAGAGAAAATAGCTTGTTTTAGAATGGCAAACCCATGATGTTTATTTGTTTTACTTGATGGCCAAATCCCGTGCAGGTCAGACCCATTAAACTCTTTTATTTTATGGTTAGCGGTTAGCCCATTAAAATCCATGCATTAGTTTATTTTTTATTTTTTTCTTTTTAGCAATAAAAAGGAGTATTGTCTTTGCCTTTTCATATATATTTTACCACCACCGAGGAATAAAAGGGGTTAAAGAAAAAAAATTGACACTCCTGGATCCGTTTTAAATTCGCATGTGTACGGTAAGTTGGCTCGTTCCATAGAGGAAAGAGAAAAAAATTGACACTCTCTATTCTACCCTTCCTACGCTCTTAGAGCATGGAATTTGAAATAGGGGAATGGTTTATTCCTCCCTGCTATTATATGTTTTTAATTAAAAAAGATAGAACAAATGTACTTAGTGTAATTGGTTATGATCTTTGTTTTTCTTTAAAGTGGTCATGGTTCGAATCCTAGTACGTGTCTTTTTAAAGTAGAAGGGTCGTCGAATATATTATTTGTGTTTAAACTTTTTTCATGACGCTATTGTTTCAATTTGTATGGCTAGTAGTTGATCCTCCTATAACTTTTGCAGAATGAAGCAGCTTTTCAGGAAGTATTTTAAAAAAATGTTGAGTATTTAGCTGTAACACTATCAGAATTACTTTCTAATATAAGAGGTTTAGTAAAATGACAAAAAGATTTCTATATAAAATATGAATATAAATGCTAGAAATAAAAAATATTTAAAATGGATCACTGTAACATCCCTACTCTCGTACTAATTATTACGTCATAATGACGTGTTTGTGATCGGGTTACAAAAATTAGTCTTTTGAACCAAAAGGGAAGTGAACAGTTAAAGTTTTAGACTTAATTGCAAAAGAAGGAAAGTTTAGGGCCAAATGGGCAATTTGGAGGAAGACCAAAATGTCATACCTACTTTCACTCTCGTTGCATTAAAATTGAAATGGAGAACCAGTTTTCCCCTTCGTTGCATAAGGTAGAAGGGTCGTCGAATATATTATTTATGTTTAAACTTCTTTCATGACGCTATTGTTTCAATTTGTATGGCTAGTAGTTGATCCTCCTATAACTTTTGCAGAATGAAGCAGCTTTTCAGGAAGTATTTAAAAAAAATGTTGAGTATTTAGCTGTAAAACTATCAGAATTACTTTCTAATATAAGAGGTTTAGTAAAATGACTAAAAAAGATTTCTAACATAAAATATGAATACAAATTCTAGAAATAAAAAATATTTAAAATGGATCGCTGTAACATCCCTACTCTCGTACTAATTATTACGTCATAATGACGTGTTTGTGATCGGGTTACAAAAATTAGTCTTTTGAACCAAAAAGGAAGTGAATAGTGAAAGTTTTAGACTTAATTGCAAAAGAAGGAAAGTTTAGGGCCAAATGGACAATTTGGAGGATTGGAGAATTCTAGAGAAGGGGAGATAAAAATCTGCCCCTTCCCTCTTCTCTCTTATTTTCTTCTCATCTCTTTCCCTCACTCTCTCTCATGTCCCTCTCTTGCTCTCCTTCTTCCACCTGGTTTCACCACCCAAAAACCACCATCCCCATTCCCAGAAACAAGGAGCAGAGAGATAAAAAAAGGATATCAAGGAAAGGAACAAGAAGAAGAAGGAAACAAAGGGGGTGTCAATTTTCGTCCTGCAGCAAGACAGCCTGTGAGAAGGACGATTTCGGACACTCGAGCCGCTGGATCGTGCTGAGATTTGTAGGTTGTGTTATATACTTTTTTTTCTACGATTGGACCGTTGGGATCATCGTTATGATCTCTGGTTCATTGAAGAATGCCGCTGGACAGAAAGGGTGCGACACTGTTTACCTGTAGCAGGACAACATATTAGAGGTAAGATCCAGTGCGAACCAGTCGTTGGATCATTCTAAAAATTTGATATAATAATTATTATATTGATTTCTTCGAATTGACCGTTCAGAATGTAGTTTTGCTTTTGGAGTGGTCAGGAACAATTGTTAGAAGTAGGGAAGTTGAATTTGAAGTGAAAAGAAAGTAGCTGACAGTTTTGAAACGTTAACTTAAAATGATTACCGGACTCAAACGGCTGTTCCAAATGGTCTGAAATTTGGATATGATGTATCCCTATGAGTCTAGTTTCAGTATCAATAAGAATTAACTGATTTGATTAAGTATCAAGGGAGAAATTACCTAAATGATGAAGCAGGGTAAGTGTACGGCCGTACAACTTCCCTAGTGGCCTTATCAACATGCATGAACACAACCATGATTATGATGACTTTATACGTATCTTGGTGCTTGAATAACCTGAAAATTTTGTATATAAAGGTAAGGAGCAAGCTGAGGGCTCATCCAAAGGCAAGGGCATAGCCGACTGTAGACAAAATTGTGAGTAGATTCTAATCTTAGATCTAAATTTATGGGAAATTATATGTGATGTGGTTACTTTAGTGACCATAATTGTCTATATTGTCTGTTAAATGATATAGATTCTGAAATTCGGTGAAGTCAAGATGGCTTATTCATGTATATTCATCATTTGCATTTGGTATGAAGTTGGAAATGCATGAATTGTGGATGAGATATGGAAAGACATTTTGTTGGTTGATCTTGTGTATGCCTCTGCAAATTTCTTACCTTTTCAAAATCCTTGACATAAGGATTGACTCTATTGCGGGAGTCAGCATTATTCCCATTAAGATTAGAACCTCCAGCATTAGGATTCCTGTGAGGTTGCGGATCTGCTCCTTGACTGAACGCCACAAAAACAAAATACATAGTCAAAATCAAAATTTAGTCACTTCCTCGTGAAATCATTTTAAGATTTTTCCGGTAAAAATATCGTTTAAAACGTTTGGTATCCACGGGATCATATCCTAGCTCTGATACAAAAAATGTAATACCCTTACTTTACATTACAAAACGAAACAGTAAAATACATCGAGTTTAAACATTCTCGGGCCCGAGCTTTATATATCTATATTTTTTTCAAACTTCAAACCATAATTTACATTGGCAACAGAGTCAAAACAGAAAACCGGGGAAGTCTGCTTTATTACAAAATCCACACAACATAAAACATTTAAGGAGTTCGGGGTCCTCCGCCCACCTCATGGCTTCCCTTCAAGCTTGAGTCTCGATATCTACAGTACACATCTTACTTCTGCTCTTGATCTGAGGAAAATGGTGACGAAGGATGAGTCATCGCTCAGTGAATAAATTCTAAGCTCAGATCGACATCAATACAAATACAGTATTGGGCAGAAACACCCTAGGCACATAACAGGACTTAAGTTGTTTATCACACTTTTCATTCCACTGAATCAATCAAGTACACATGTTCACATCCCATCTCAGTCAAAACACATAAAACAGATGACAGATAGAGGCATTTTGCTTATACAATTTCACTTTCAAATTTGCTAAATGATATCCTCCCTGAGTAGTATAGTATTGGAAGGCTGCAGGGTAACCATGTACAACAATCAGGTAACTGGAGTACCGCCGGAAAAAACCCAGTCTGGTACGAACAGGAGTGCACAAGGCACGAAACAGGAGTGCTCGCACCAACAGGAGTATCGCGGGACGCAATCCGGACTGATACAAAATAGGAGTCGCCACGGGAAATTCTCTTGTATTTCTGCTTCTGTTCTATTAGGATTTGATTGCAAATACTCTTGTTTATGCATTCTGTAAAATAGTGATAATCCTATGAGTTGGAAAATTAACTATTAACTTGGTCTAATCATATTGAACTGTTACCCATAGCACAAGAAACTTACTCAAAAAAAGGTGTTATCTCCTCACAGTTATTCAAGATGTACCATTGAATCTTACTCAATTCTGTTGGGGAAAGTTTCTGACGAGAAGCACCTCCAATTGGTCTAGCTTTTTGGCTGAAGACTGCAAAGCCATTAAGTTCTAAATCCATACCATCATCACTCCTATCTAAACGATTAGCTCTAGTCTCCACCCCTTGCAAATACCTAGTACAAAAATCCAAGCAGTCCTTTGCTATGCATGCCTCAGCAATGCATCCTTCAGGACATGCTTTGTTACGGACAAAATCTTTCAAAGTTCCTAGGTACCTATGCACATTTACAAACAACGAAAGAGAAGAAGTTGATTAACAATATTTATAAAAAGTATTCAATTCTGAAATGTAAAACCAGATCTAGGATTACCTTTCCATTGGGTACATCCATCTATATTGCACTGGACCACCGAGTTCTATTTCACGTGGTAGGTGAATTGCTAGATGTATCATGACAACGAAGAAGCTTGGTGGGTAAACCATTTCCAGTTTGCAAAGGATTAAAATAATGTCCTGCCCTAACTTGTTCACACTAGACTTTTTAATTGTCTTTGAACAAAGTTCCCTAAAAAATCCGCTTAGTTCTGCTAGTACAGTGTATACATTTTGTTGCAGAAAACCATTAGCCACGACAGGCAGAAGACGTTGTAAGAATATATGATGATCATGACTTTTCATACCCGAGACTTTAGAATCATCAGCAACAACACATCTAGAAATGTTTGAAGCATAAGAGTCAGGGAATTTAATTGATTTAAGCCATCCACACACTTTCTTCCTATATGCCAGATTTAATGTGTATGCAGCAGGTGACATCACATCTTTATTACCATCTGAAATTATGTGCAACTCCTTTCTAATGCCCATAAGCTTCAAATCCTTACGAGCATTAGCATTATCTTTATTTTTTCCATCCATATCTAGTAGTGTTCCCAACACATTTTCACTAATATTCTTCTCTATATGCATAACATCTAAGTTATGACGCAGTTCAATAGTTTTCCAGTAAGGTAAAGACCAAAAGGAAGCTCGAACCCTCCAATTAAACTTGTTATTTAACCTCCTCTTCTTACTTGCAGGTTTCAGATTCAACTCTGAAGAATTAGGAAGGGCGACATCTAGTTGGTTCAAAACATTTTCAGAAGACAGAGTGGCAGGGGGGTCTCTAATTTCTTTCTTACCATTAAACTTCATACTTCTCCTCCACGGATGTTCTTTTCCCAACCACCTACGATGACCCATATAACATTCCTTCTTCCCATGTGTTAGACGTAACGAACAAGTCTCACTACCACAGACTGGACAAGCCATTTTACCCTTGGTACACCATCCAGACAACATTCCATACGCTGGGAAATCATTGATTGTCCAAAGCAGTGCAGCATGCAATTGAAAATATTGGCCAGAGTATGCATCAAAAGTTTTAACCCCCACATTCCACAATTCATTTAGTTCTTCTATTACTGGTTCAATATAGACATGTATCTTATTACCTGGAGAGGATTTACCAGGTATAAGAACAGTCAAGAACATAAAGGACTCTTTCATACAACTCCAAGGAGGTAAGTTATATGGAGTTAGAACCACTGGCCACATGCTGTAATTCGGACTCATGTTTCCAAAGGGATTAAAACCATCACTTAAGAGAGCTAGGCGAACATTTCTAGGGTCAGCAGCAAACCAAGCATAGTCACTGTCGAATTTTTTCCATGTTTCTGCATCAGCCGGGTGTCTAAGCACCTCATCGTCAACACGCTTCTCCTTGTGCCACCTCATATCCTTAGCAATTTCCTTATTTGTAAATAAACTCTGAAGCCTATCCTTCAAAGGGAAGTACCTAACCTTATGTATGGCCACCCTCTTCCCTTTCCCTTTGCTACTCTTATACCTAGGCTCTCGACACTTTGGACACGTCTCTGCATCCTTATAACTCCCTCTATATAGGACACAGTGGTTAGGGCAGGCTTCTATAATGTTATAACCAAACCCTAGATCTTTCATATACTTCTTAACATCATAATAGGAATACGGAAGAGTCTCACCAACTGGCAAAGCATCCTTGAACAATTCCAAGTTTAGGTTAAAAAGTTTGTTGGTAGAATTAGTGAGTACTTTATTGTTAAGCATTTTGACTAGAAAAGATAGTTTAGAATACTTAGAGCACCCAGGAAATAAAGGCTCTCGAGCATCACTAAGTAATCTACCTAATCTGTCCACTTTGTCCCCCCTGTCCCTGCCTTCATCACAAACAGTGTCAGTCCCCTCAAAACCACACTCCATATCCCCTCCAGCTCTATGGATATCATCTAACATTTCATGCAACCCAGGTTCAATATCATTAGCAGAATTGTCGACATAAGAATCCCGATTAATGCCAACATTACTACTCTGCCCAACTTCAAAATTCTCACCATGATGTAGCCAAACTGTATAATCAGGAAGGAATCCATACAAGAAGATATCATTTTTCACAGCTTGGATCTTTTTGAAGCAAGTATTATTGCACTTTTTGCAAGGGCATCTAATTCTACCAAGTGCATCAGCAGAATTAGTGGCCAATTGCAAAAAGTTTCTAACCCCATTAACATATTCTGAACAAAATTTGTCTTTCAATTTCATCCATTGTTTGTCCATGGTGACTGCATAAAATTAAACTAACCTTGACTTGTAGCCTTTTCGACCAACAGCCAAGATTAGTCCAGCTCCAAAAGACACATCTCTGCAAAAAGTATTAACACCATATGGTCAATTGAAAGCCATCAATATGAAACCTAGACTTCGGTTAAAACAAAGGATGAACTGTAAATGTTAAACACTTAATAAGAACAAATTATCAGAATCGAGCTAAGCAAACAGGGGTTCAAATTTAACAGAAACTAACATAATCTTCATCACGGAACCAACTGATGAAATTCAAGGCCATTCATCTAAAACCTATTTCGATTGAAACGAAGGATGAACTCAGATCCATGAGCCTCTTACTAGACATCAAAGTAATGAAAGAGAATTCAGGAATATAGAAATCAAACAGACTCAAGTAATGACTGAGACTCCAGAAATCAAAGGTTTTCGCACTTGAACATCACAGCATTGACATGGAACAAAAAACTCCAAAAACGGCGATAAACAGTCATAATCGGCAGAGGAGACTGAGTACAACAATACATAATTGATCATAAGGTAGAGGATGATATTCTTCGACAGCAATCAGAAAGGATTTACCAAGCGAGAGCATCTTCGACCCGAGAATTCAAAATAAAAGAAGGCGACATGCAAGATCGAAAATCAAAGTCGTACCTCGATGGAGTGTTCTTCTGGTCGCCGGATTCGACCACGAGAATGGCAGATAAAGGGATTGGAGGAATCGTCCTGGGAATGGCGGTGTATATTAGGGTTTTTTTGGGTGAATGGCAGAGAAAGGGAACGGATCGAGGTCTGGGGGAGAGTAGGAGTCGTGAAAGGGGATTGTGTTTTTTTATGTGGGAATAGGAAAAGGAAATAATTTCCTTTGAGTTATGAAAACATATCGCGGGAATTTTTCCCTCCATCAAAATAATTAGCATATTTTATAGTTCATGTGACAAACTTATTTGTCGTAACATTTAAAAGTACTGATGTTGTGACAACCTAAGTTGTGATAATTAATATTGCGTCATATTAGCTCCTTTTCATTCGTACCGAAACCTATTATGACAAAACCATTTGTCATATTAAACTTTGACTCAACTTTATATGACGATCGTTTTTCTGACAAACACTTTCGTCACAACGCTTTACCACGAAATGATATAACAAAATAATTGTGACAACATAAATTTTGTCATAATATGAATCTAATGTGATAAATTTATTGTGACAACATAACCTTTGTCATAATATGAGGCTAATGTGACAAAATATTGCGACGATAAACCTTTTTGTCACATTAAACATGGCAGTTATGACATATACTGACTTTTGTCACATTATAGTATATATTGTGACGAAAATAGCAATGACAAATATTTAGTTTGTCATATCATACATATTTTGTTGTAGTGATTTTGGCCATTTCTCCCTTGATACTTAACAAAATTAGTTGATTCTTGTTGCTACTGAAAATAGTTCATAGGGCTACTACATATGCAAATTCAGACCATTTGGAACAACCGTTTGAGCCCGGCAATCATTTTAAGTTGACGTTTCAAAACTGGAAGCTACTTTCTTTTCACTTCAAATCCAACTCCCCTACTTCTAACAATTGTTCATGATCACTCCTAAATCAAAACTACATTCCGAACGGTCAATTCAAATAACCCAATATACTAAAAATTATACCAAATTTCTAGAACGATCCAACGACTGGTACGCACCGGATCTTACCTCTAATATGTTGTCCTGCTATAGGAAAACAGTGTTGCACCCCTTCTGTCCAGCGACATTCCTCGATGAACAAGAGATCATAACGATGATCCCAACGGTCCAATCGTAGACAAAGAAGTATGGAGCACAACCTTCAAATCTCAGGACGATCCAATAGCTCGAGTGACCAGAATCGTCCTTTCCACAGGTTGTCCTGCTGTTGGACGAAAATTGGCACCCCCTCTGTTTCCTTCTTCTTCTTCCTTTCATTGATATCCTTTCTTTCTATATCTCTGCTCCTTGTTCCTTAAAATGGGGATGGTGATTTTTGGGTGGTGAAACCAGCTGGAAGAAGGAGAGCAAGAGAGGGACGTGGGAGAGTGTGAGGGAAAGAGATGACAAG